GAGAGGTCTGCCACGCCATGTGGTCACCTCTGGGGCAGGCGGGGATCGAACTCATGAGGAAGTGGCTTTAGCTTCTTAGTGCTGTGCTTTAACCCACTGCGCCACCAGGGAGGGCTGGCAGTCTCATTTTTATTTAGAATCAGACTGGAAATAAAAAGCTCAAAGAAGCAAGCAGGCAAACAGGGAATGCACAGATGTGTAGGGGAATGCATAACCAGCCAAGGTTGGGAGAAAGGCAAGGAAAGTCTCTTGTTTATGCTACTCTAACCATAATACCTAGTGCGTTTCTGTACCTGCTGTTTTCAGCATGAATAGATCCTCATACCAGGATTTCTGTCCTTACAGGTTCCTTATCAACTTCCCTGTTTCTGCACACCGAGAGCCACAGAATATCCCAAGAATAATCAAGGCAAAGACACCAAGTGGTTGAGGTACACAATAATCCAAGCTCCCACAATAAACAGTAAGTTAAACTGTATTTAATAAAGTCTTTTCTGTACCCCCTGCTTCCAGCCTAAGTTTAGGACTTTTTGTTAAGGAAATGGCTACTGAATGAGTGTCTAATATCGATAGTATATTTTCCATCTCTTTGTCGTTAAAGAGCCAAAATCACTCTCACATGAGTATCTTAGGTTGCACAGCTGTACCAAATAGTAGTTCAGAGAAATCAGATGCCCAGATGAAATGGGAATTTAGAGTCACTGCATGTTATATTCACTAATAAAAACCTCTGACCAGGAGGTTTTCAGGAATGAGTCTCATTAATTCCAAAAAACTTTGCTTCCTTTCCAGTATAGAACATACAGCTTCTTGAGTAATCGAAACTCAGGAATAAAGTTATATTTACTTTTTCCAGTTGTTTGGCACCCTCACAAGTATACTTTAAAGGAGTGTTCAGTATGTCCATAGCTCCCTTTGCAAGGTAGATCGATGAAATTATTCAGCCTATGTTCTGAGTACACAGTAGGACGGAGATCTCAGCAGTATCAGCATAAAACTTGAGCTATCTAAAACCAAGCTTTGAAACTTTCAAATGATCATTCTCTCTGGTCCTTCTGTTGCCTGAAGCTCAATTTGTCTTGACACTTTACTGATGAGAAATCACATGGAGCACTTTACAGCAGTTCTCATTAAAGGAGGGCAGCCAAGTGGAATTCATTCTTGGCTCTTAATAGTTTTCAAATGAGAATTTTATTGCATATTAATGAGCACTAATTGACATTTGTGACTGGTTTTTATGGAAATCATCTATGTATAATTTGCATAATAGTACCTAAGTGCTTTTAGGTGACTGCAACTCTGGGAAGTGGATGAGGATTTTAGTATATTGCTGTTTGGGGTTTTTGTCTTTTTTTTTTTTTAACTTTCCCACTCCAGTCCTGACAATAGCATGGAATATTAACAAGCTTCTAGAATCAGTCTGTAAAGTAGTACTGATTTAGATCCCAGCTCTGCCCAGATGTTTGTGCTAGCTTATACCTGAGAACACAAAGAGAATCAGCCAAACACTTCGGGCAGTTCCCTGAAAGCAGGTGTTCCCCCAGTAGTGGGGTAGCTGGGATGTTTCAACCTTCCTTCAGGAATTCAATCTCTATTCTTCTGTGTCAAGATATCCAAAGGATTATTCCCAAGTGTCTAGGACTTCCATACTAGTTTTCTAAACATCTCTGGGTCCACTTCAGAAAATATGTACTGATCACTACGTGACGTGACAGGTACTGTGCTAGGTATCAGAACAAGACCGCAAATAGCTTGTTCCTTGCTGTACATAGTGATTTGCACATTAGTAATTGATCAATCAATACTTATTGAATTAATGAACATCATCTATATCACTGGAGCTCTATTATTCATTATTCTTACAAATGTGATTTTAAATACAGTATATCATTATTCATGTTAGAAGAAACAGTGATTCAGATCTTGGGACTCTGCTATGAACTTTAGAGAAACAGGATGAACCACCTGTTATGTGTCCAAATCCTCTCTATAGATGGTTGTTCTCTATCACAGAAATGAAAGAAACAGATATTTATTGATAACCTTGCATCAGTTGTATTTGCTGTGTCTTATACATCATGATACAATCACCAACAAAACCAATGTGGTATAGATAGTATTATCTTCATTCTATTGAGGAAGCAGCTAAGAATTAGAAAGCTAAGTGACCAAGTAAAGGCCCCACAGAGAAAAAAAAAGTCTGATATTTAAATTCAGTGTTGGCTTTATCCCACTGCAGTACCACTTATTATACCTGTGGATATGTGAAGTGAAGCCAAACTTTAGGGTTGGAGAACTGAATTGGCCCAGGGGCCCTGGTAGTGCTCTGTATTTACTTGACCTACTGTTCATAGTAAATTTGCTGTTTTTTACACTGTTTTCCAGATCCCAGGGAGTGGGGTGTGGGTGGGGACAATCCAATCGCTGATCTAATTTGCTACAATTCTTCTAAGCAGTCAGAAATATTTGAATATCACAAAGGGAGAAATCAGGTGTAGTGGAAGTAAAATTACATGTAATATCAACTTAAACGATTGACTATAACTTTGTAATGCTGAGCAAAAATATTTGCAAGATTATGGAAAGAGCACTAACAATGATCTCAGAAGTATATAAAAGGAATGATTTTAGAACTTAAGGATTAGCAAAGAATGTGGTATAGTCCAAAAATTCATACAGCACTGAAGAATCTCAAATTTTGTTTTCCCTGAGATACACACTAGACTAAGAGAGTGAATTAAGTTCACCTTGCCTTCTACCACCCACCTCACATGCCTGCCAAGGGACACCCAGTGATTCCATTCTGCTTCTAAAATCCCCTAAGAGGATGCGTTTGGAACAGCCATCTCTTTTCCCCTGCTCTTCCATTCAGTGAACCAAGGCTCCCTGCAGGAACCCTGCTTGGGATGATTATTCAGAAACCTTGAAAGTAGGAAAATAGAACTGGAGTCACTTCAAAGGCTTTAAAAGGGAACTTTTATCGTCTTTCCTTTATAAGGCAAATCTAAGCTTCAAAATTTATACACTCCCAAGAGAATATTCTTTTCTCTTTGACCATATTCATTTTCTCTCTTGTGTTTCCTCTACAAACTTCTAACAACAGAGTGGTTACTCCTGTGACTCTTCTTGCTCCATAGGCCTCCAGTAGGCCCACATGTATTGCGTGTTCAAGTCAAACTTGCCTTCGTCCAGTTGCCACGCCCATTCAGCACCCCTGTACACACATAGTCTCCATCTTTCCTTCCCAGCTCTGTGCCACCTGTCCCAAATATATGAAATGTGTACTCTAACTTCCTTTAAAGACCTGTTAATGCAATATAGGAAGAGCACTGAATTTGGGAGACCTAGATTCTGTTTCTAGACTGATCCTGAGTCTCTTAACCTCTGTGGGATTATCTTCTCATCTATCAAATGCAGAGTTTAAACTTAATGGTGTGTAAGTTGCTCTATCATTCTGTGACTTTACCTAGGTTCCTGATTACCATGTTTCTACACATGGAATATTTCCTACCCTTATGCCATGTTCATGCTCTTTTAGAAAGTATTTACAACTGTAAGCTTGGATCCATTCTGTGTTGGATCCATATGGCAGGTGGTCTTTGCGGACCAAATCCCTTCTGTCATGCTAACACTTGCCTGCTGCCCTCATGAAGAGCTGGGTATGCTCAGGGAATAGTAGTGAATTTAACTATTAGCATAAGTGACCCACATTCAGGATGTTTACAAATCTGCTATTAGAACGTAACACAATGTGTTCAAAGGCAATTAAAACTGCATTTTACATTCCCTGCTGTTTGTAATTATCCATGTATCTACTGCCTACATTAACATAGTTAATGGAGAGCTAATATGTCAGATAATATTGGTGCCAGAAAGAACCAATAGTGAACATCTATGCTTCAAATCACCATCATAGTGGTGGTGGTGATTTGAATAAATCCATTTATTATGAATTTACATATGATTCTGTCATAGCTCTCTTAGTGGGTTACCCGAAACTGAGATACTTCAAATAAGTTATCTGTCTCCATTGGGTAGAACATCCCTATTACTCCAGAAGCACTCCACTTCTGCTTCTATATAAAACATTTAATAGTACTGCACAGCTGCTTTACGTAGGTCACATGTTTTAATTCTGAGCCTCTGAGCAGCTGGAAAATAAAAAGTGAATTAATACTATTCATGACATAAATTATTTCCAGAGAAGATTAATTTATCCTAGTATTTGAGAGGAAGAGAAATGTATACCGTTTCTTCATAAAGGAGTCATGTTCAAGAGCACACCCTCGATAATATCCTTTGATATCTACAATGTTTTAATCCATTCATTCATTCAACAAGCTTTTATTGAGTGCCTATTATGTACCATTTTCATGCAAGGCATGTTTCTGTGCATTGCAATTATTTTCTTTTTGATGTTCAAAGTATACTGTTATTGCTGAGTGGGAACCTGTAGATTCCTGCATCCTTTTATTATAATTCTGTAGTCTAATGCCTTTTTTTATTTTCTAGTATGACCAGCTCTTTCAGATTCATCTTGTTTATTTCCTGCTCTATAAATTAAAGAAGCCTGGTTCTTTTTAGTGTAACGCAGTTTAAGATATCACTTCCTGGGCATTTGGAGTGTGTATTGTCTCTGGGTTGTAATTACTTCAAAACTTCAGTTTACAGATTAGAAAAAAAGAGTGTTTTAGAAAGAATAAGCATATCCTGAATCCATATTGATATTTCCCATTTAAACATTGAAAGTTTCTATTCTCTTACTTTATATGTGTATCTCTTTTATTATTATTTTTAACTTTGGGTTACCTTTCACTTTCTGACTTGAAATAATTGTTCTCTTTTTCTCTTTCTTTGAAGATCTTAGTATCCAATGATATGAACATAATTACTTATTTAGTTACAGATATGTAAATGTGTGTGTGTAATATAATTGTGTATATCCATATATATGTAAAAAAAAAGCAGATTTAGATACCTATAGTGCTAAAAATTCTTTCTTAGTATTTTTGGCCCTTAGGGTATATAATCTATTATTACCTAAAATAATTTTCTATGTGGCCATACCATAAACATGGTATAGTTATGATAATTTATTTCATGTGTTTTTAAAATTTTTATCACTTGATTTTTCTTGTGTTTGACCTAATTTTGTTTTTAAATTATGTAGAATATTATATGGTCTCAGAGTCAAAGCTATTAACACTGAGAGGTTTATTTTACCGTCCTGTGCCCTTCCTCTTATTCTTTGTCTCCTTTTATAGTGAACGCTTTTATTCTTTCCTCATTTCTTTTTGAAGACACAGCAGTGATCTGTATGTATTTTATCATCTTTCTTACACAAAAGGTTGCATACCATGTACATTTTGTGGCATTCTTCTTGCTCTTTTTAAACAAGTAAATAATATTTACTTATTCTTTAAATTTTTAGATATTTCTTATTTAAAAAAAATTATTTTTGCA